CCAGGATCTCCTACATAGATCCCCCTCCGAGTGGTTGACTGTGGTAGCCAGGTACCATCTAGTTCTTCTGGTCTCATAGTCGTATAGGCTGAGGATCTCATGGTGTACCAGTCGCTTGGACTAATTGCATACATCTTTGGTTTTCTTCATTTCTCTTTGCTCTGGGCACAGAGAGACCCATCATTCCATCTACATGGCTGCTTGCAAGCTTTTAGGATCCTAGTCTCTACTTGCCAAAGTAGGGTGTGGAACAATGTTTTTGTGTAGTATGCTATGCTAATTGAGATTGATGTCCCCTGTGATTGGTCTCGGAAGGAAGGTTGGGCAATCTATTTCTGTAGTGATACTGCCTTGGAAACCCAGGGAGGGGTTGCTATGAGTCAGATCTGACTCGACGGCAGTGGGGGTGGAGTGACTATGGTCCCAAGCCCACAGGTCCAACTACTCTCTCCCTCTGGGTAGCTGGCTGTGGCCAAGAAGTGACTACAACCTTGTCACTTGTCAGCTCTACTATATACCTGGGAATTCTTACAGAAGATACAAATACACTTGTAGAAACATCGTCTTCCAACCCTATACATGGTCTTGGGCACATTCTCCCCTGCATGGACATACCTAATTGTTCAGCCTGTCCACCCATCTATCCACCCATATATCAATGTTTGCCTTCACTGACAACGCAGTACTGTATGTGCAGAAGGGTTCATCTTTGTTGTCTGTATCTCCCATGTACCTCTCTATGTCTTCCTCAGTGCCACCGTGTTGATCATTCACATTTGGTATATTGCCCTTCCTTTCACCCAAATCAATACTTGTCTCTACCTATCTAACAGTGTTCCCTCCCCTCCCCTCCCACCCCTGGTAACCAACAAAGAACATTTCTTTCCATATATAAACCCTTCCTTGAGTTTTTACAGTAATGGACTGCGGTGTAGTAAATTACCTAGTATGGCTTTTCTAGCCATAAGTCTTTTCAAACTCTGAGGTGGAATTGGCTGTGAGCAACTGAGGAGCTCCTGATACCTGGGGTATTTCTGTTGAGGGTGGCACAAAGCAGTGTTCCAGGAAGTTCTCTCTCAGGTATATAGAATTCCTGATGTTATGATTGGTTAGTTTGGCCACTCTGCCAGGCTCAAAAGGAACCGTCCTAGAGGCAGAAGGAGTCTCTCTGAGTGCTGGCTGAGAAAGGCGTGCTGCTGAGAGAAACGTGCTCCTGAGAGACACACGCTGCTGAGAGAGAGACACCAAGAGACACACGCTGCTGGGAGAGAGACAGAGAAAGACTGTTGGCTGAGAGACAATGGGCTGAGAGAGACTGAGCATTGTTCCGGAACTTGAATTGTAGCCTGGTGCTCCCCTAATAAACCCCATAATCTGTGAGCTCTGTGCAGCCACTGCAGTGAATTATCGAATCCAGTAGAAAGGTGGGTGCTGCGGGAGGAACGGTTGGTGTTAGGGTTGATGAAAGGACTGGAGGGAGGCAGCATGTCTGGCCTCACAGGAATAGCCCTTGGGTTATTGATGGTGATTCTGTCTTCCTCTTGTGCGGTTAGAGGAGGTTGGAAAATGCAGCCTCCCTGCCCCTTTGGCACGGACTAATACAATATCCATGAGGGATCCTTTTGATGTAACTTTTATATATTTTTCATGAGTGTGTGTGTGGTAAAAATATATATCAGAAAAATGTGCTGTTTCAATACATCTAAGTTGTCCAAGTCAGTGACAGTGCTCACATTCACCACGTATGCACCTGTCACCATGTTCTGTCTTTTAATTACGGTGGTCACCTGAGCCTTCACATGATAATGTTATATAGAACTCAATAAACACAAACACGCAAATAAGTTTATGTAATCCTGAAATCTGAATAAGCTGGGTTTATTGTGTTAGTGTCAGTTCCCTGGTGGTTTTATTGCACTCTGGTTATGTGAGACGTTACCGTTGGAGGAAACTGACTCAACCGTATATCTGCTCGTTCTGTAGCATTTCTCACCTCTCCATATGACAACTACAACTATTTCAAAATATAAGATTAAAAACTTAATAGGTATAAAAGATAACAGATATTTTCAGTGTAAAATAAGCATTGGACTATCTTAAAATCTGCCTGCCAGAAGTCTCATTCAGTAAAAAAAAAAAAACAAACTATTTTTGACTATGGAGTTAGATTTTTAGATACAGCTTATCCTTTACTTTATATTCACTTTATCCACATTTGCTGAAGTCTCCATTGTATTCTTTCTCTGGTGTATTTTGGGTCAGTTTCATCAATTCTATATTATACTTTAGTAATTATGTGTTTAGTGCATTTCATATGCTGTAACATGTTAATATATATACATAATGTGTGTATATGTGTACATATGTGTGCATGTGTTTAGATTTATTTTTCATAAATCATCCTAATAAGTCTAACTTCTGAAGTTCCATCACTGTAGTTTCTGCTATTGACTGTGAAGGCTCATGTTGAATGTAAGAATGTGTTTCAATCCATGTATGTCATTAGCATATTTATCACTTAGCAAATCAGTGGCCAAAGACATACACACACATATATATGTGTATGAGTGTGAGATATTTCTGGGTTAGCAAGAGGATTTGACTCTATCTGCTCTACATTATAAAAATGTCTAATTTGGTGATCAAATGTGTCATTACAGAACATTTTCTTAGGATTTTGCTTCTTCTAAAAACGAAAACCAAACCCACTGCCATCGAGTCAGTTCTAACTCCATAGTGACCACCATTGGGATTCTGAGGCAGTGAATCTTTACAGAAGTAGATTGCCCTGTCTTCCTTCTGTGGAGTGGCTGGTGGGTTTGAACCGCCAGCCTTCTGGTTAGCAGTCACATGCCTTAGGCGCTATGCCACCAGAACACCTTTGCTTCTCCTGCAAGGGTTTTTTTTTTCCCCAAAGAAACCAACATTAGGCATATAGATGCACACATAGAGAGGAAGTCAAAACAACTCTCTTCCCATATCAACCATGTCATGAAACATAAACCACTTCATGACACAGGACCCTGTTGTCACAGGAATCGCTGACATTGGAAGATGTGGCTGTGGAGTTCACCTGGGACGAGTGGCAGCTCCTGCGCCCTGCTCAGAAGGACCTATACCAGGATGTGATGTTGGAGAACTATACCAACCTGGTGTTTGTGGGTGAGGACAGCTCTCCTGTGTCACTCAGTACCTTTTGATTCCAGATGCTTAAAGCTTGGAAGTGTCTGTGCCCTGCAGTAGTGGATTCTCAGTCCACTGTTTGGACCTTGATAAATGGGTATATTCTCCCTACTTCTGAGAGAAAAATATTCCCTTCTTACATGTGAAAATTCCTTTGTCACAAATGTAACGTTCTACTTTCTTTCCAAACCCAAGCACAGTTTGGTTTGTCTAAGCCTGTTACCGTTTCCCGTGAACAGGGTATCACATTAGCAAACCAGATGCACAGTGCATGTTGAAAAGAAGAGGACAGCTATGGACTTTACAAGATGGGATCCACAGTCGATCCTTTTCAGGTGAGCAAGTGCACCAGCAAGTGGGGAGGACGGCTGTGGAAGTCACAGTGTAGCCAGAGCATCACAGCCACGAAGGGTGTCTAAAAATACATAGGAGTGTCTCTACTTTTCGCTCTTCCAGGTGAGACCTCTTTTTCTTCAGAGCAGTTTAGAGAAAGATATAACCCTCTATCTCTTTGTAAAGGAACTCTGGTGGCATAGTGCCTATGACATTTGACTGCTAACAAGAAGGTTGGTGGTTCAAACCCACCAGCCACTCCATGGAGGGAAGACTGGGCAATCTACTTCTGTAAAGATTTGCTGCTTCAGAAACCCAAGGGGGGTCACTATGATTGAAGGAATACTGGTGGTGGAGTGATTAAAACATTCAGCTGCTAACTGAAAGGTTGGCTATTGGAACTCATCAGCCACTCTGTGGGAGAAAAGACCTAATGACCTGCTCCCATAAAGATTACAGCCTAGAAGATGTGTGGGACAGTTCTCTTTTTTCCTGTATGGTCGCCATGAGTCAGAGCAGCAACAGCATCTCAGATCAGATCGATACACTTGCTCTATATTTTCCTGTTTTTCATATGATGGCAGTTTTATTGTAGCAAAAGGATACCCATGTAGAGATGCATAGGATGAGGTCTGGGAGTGTTCCCAGCATGGAGTTTCCATGGCCCAAAAAAAGGCCCAGTGGTTACCCTCTGACTTACATTGCTGTCTTTCACCACCCGGGAACATCATAGGGCTTCTCTGTCCAGACCATTTACCGTGGACTCACTGAATAGGCATACTTGATTGATGATGGCCTTGAGGCCAACTGCTGTCACGGGGTGTGTGCTCTTTCTGGCCTAGCCAGCTCCTCCTTTAGTCACTTCATTAGTCAAATCTGTTAGGTCTGGTCTAGAGACTTACAGATACTAAAGGTGCCTCCATTGCTCAATATAACTCAAAGGCATTAGAGTTATATCTCAGGAATGAGGGAAAGACCCAATTTGTTTGGGTCAGCTTAATCATAAACTTTTTTTTTTTTTTAGATGTTTCACCAAACTACAATAATAGACTATTGACATCAAGTAGATTTCAACTCATAAGAACTCAATAGGACAGAGTTGAACTCCCCCATAGGGTTGCCAAGGCTGCCAATCTTTACAGAAACAGACTGCCTCATCTTTCTCCCACAGAGTACTGGTCAGTTCGAACCTCATCCTTTCAGTTGGCAGCTTTAATCATTGTAGTACGAGAGCTCCTTTAAACTAGAATAGAGTTCCTGTGAACATAAGGAATGTGTTTATGTATTCTATGCCTGGTACATAGTGTCATTCAACAAGATTTCTGGAATGAATCTGTTCTTCCCCAGTTTGAATCACGCGCCTCTCCTACCTCTGCTGTTCACAGTGACTTGCTTGTATCTGACACACATTGCATGTTTTACAACACCTTATTAAGGCAGCTCTCAAGTCTGTATTCATTTATTATGTATTGTCTAGCCTTGTCCCTAAGCATACTGTTACTGTTTGCTTTGTTTATGTTACGTAATTTTACCGGTGTGCAAGGAATATCAAATGTGCCATTTTATTTATGTTGATAGCATAGAATTGTCTCTGAATAGCCACCTCATATTGAAGCACTTTATAATAGCTTTATTCTAAAGGTGATGGAAGGATTCATTGTTTTCTTCTTTTCCAGAAATTTGGAAAGTTGATCATCATCTGCCTGGGCATTTGCAAGATGAAAGGAGGGTGAACAGAATAGAAAAGCGCCATGAACATGATGCCTATGAGAATATTTTTCGTCATCACAAAAGTCATTTTCCTTTATGTCAAAATGAGGGTGTGTTTGACTTACTTGGAAAAACTGTGCAATCAAATTTATCTTTAATCAACCAGAGCAGAAGCTATGAAATGAACTTCAGTGAGCTTAATGAAAATGAAAAAACCTTTCTCCATGCTAACCACGAACAATTTCATAGGGAAATTAAATTCTCTGAGAGTCGAAAATTGAACAGCGTGAAGTCCCAACTCTTAAAGCATAAGAAAACTCACAGAATAGAAAAACCTCATGTATGCAGTGAGTGTGGCAAGTCCTTCATCAAGAAGTCTTGGCTCACTGATCATCAGATCATTCACACAGGAGAGAAACCCCATGGATGCAGTCTGTGTGGGAAAGCCTTCTCCAGAAAGTTCATGCTAACAGAACATCAGCGAACACACACAGGAGAAAAACCTTACGAATGTGCAGAATGTGGAAAAGCCTTTCTCAAGAAATCACGGCTCAATATACATCAGAAAACTCATACAGGAGAGAAATCCTATGTATGCGGTGACTGTGGAAAAGGCTTCATCCAGAAGGGAAATCTCATTGTTCATCAGCGAATTCATACAGGTGAGAAACCATATATATGCAGTGACTGTGGAAAAGGCTTCATCCAAAAGACATGCCTCATAGCACATCAGAGATTTCACACAGGAAAGACGCCCTTTGTTTGCAGTGAGTGTGGAAAATCCTGTTCTCAGAAATCAGGTCTCATTAAACATCAAAGAATTCACACAGGAGAGAAACCTTTCCAATGCAGTGAATGTGGGAAAGCCTTCGCCACAAAGCAAAAGCTAATTGTTCATCAAAGAACTCACACAGGAGAGAGACCATATTGCTGCACAGAGTGTGGAAAAACTTTTGCTTACATGTCTTGCCTTGTTAAACATAAAAGAATACATACAAGGGAGAAACATGTTGATTCAGTCAAGGTGGAAGACCCTTCCACAGTGAGTCACAGCTCATCACCTACCAGTGATCTCATGCTGGACAAGAACCCTGTTGGTATAGGGACTGTGCAGATGCCTTCTGTGGCAGCTCAGACATCAGTCAACATCAGTGGGATTGCTCCAAATAGAAGCATAGTCCTTATAGGACAGCCTGTTGCCAGATGTGAACCCTCAAGTGATAACAGAGAATTTGTGCAGGAGAGAAACCTTATGAATACAGTGAATGTGGTAATGCCTTCAGTGATTAATTATGTCCTATTTTATGTCACAGAAGATGCATAGGATTGAGCAAAAATTTCTAGCTCATTGAATAGCTCATTGTATGATTTCCATCAGGAAATCGTATCAGTGCAGAGATCAGGCAACCGTGAAAGACTCGTCCTCCGTAAGGATCTGCATTGAGACCTGTGGTGTCATGAGTCCTTTCAGGTGGCCTTTCGCCCTTTGGTAAATAACTTAGGATATATCCAGAGTTGTTTTTATGTCTCTGGAGAAGGACAGCATGCTTGGTAAGCTCGAGGGTCAGCAAAAAAGAGGAAGACCCTCAATGAGATGGATTGACACAGTGGCAGCAACAGTGGGCTCAAGCATAGCAATGATTGTGAGGATGGTGAGGGATGGAGCAGTGTTTTGTTCTGTTGTACCATAGGGTC